GCTTGGTCGTGCCGTCCAGGTGCGCACATCCAAACAGCAATCCCTAAACCCTAAAACCCCAAGTCCCAAACCCCAAAACCCCAATTCGCTTCTACAGCCCAATCGCTGAAACTTGAAGCCCCTGCGCCCCGAACCCAAAGTCCCTCAATCCCAGAACTCGCCCTGGCCTTCAGCTCGAGCGGGAATCGCCCGATAGCTCTAGCGACACGGTTTAGGGTTTGACGAGGTCGGAGACGACGCGTCGGCCAAGATGTTTATGAAGGCAAACTGGGGCAACTGGCAGTGGAGCATGGCAGCCTTGTGCAACTGCATATGGGTAGTTCTCCAAATTGGGGTGCATTAAGAGGCCACCAATATAGTACGGCACCCTTGTAAAAAGGACCCTAAAAGGGACCCTAATTTAGAGAACTGCCCATATACTACAGCCCGCTAGAAGGAACAACACCCTGCCGGAAACTAATTACCCTTAACCACCCGAAGATCCCTTGATCAATCTACCCTAGCCATATGCGCAAACTCTGCAAACACCATGTTAAATGCTGACGGATGGGCCACACCAAGCAATTTTCCGGACCCCAGAAATGTAGGTAGAATAATGGCCTTGAATCAGAATCATATGGTAGCTTTGTAAACTAGGGTCTTTTTTAGGGTCATTGTTATAAGGGCGCCGTACTATATTGGGGACCTTAAAAGGGACCTGTTTCGAAGAACTACCCATGTGTCGGGCCATTATTTTCTCACTTTGGAGGGATTTTGGTAAGGTCAAACGAAGTAATGAGGCCTCAAGAAACAGAGCTGTGGGACAACACGACATAGTGACATTTGGGGGTTGTTTAAGGTTTAGGGTTTAGGTGAGGGCATGTACGTATGTATGTATGTATGTATGTATGTATGTATGTATGTCTGTATGTATGTATGTATGTATGTATGTATGTATGTAAAGACGAAGAAACATAGCAGCTTCGGTCCATACCCAGATCTTCCAAAATCCCTTCAATAAGCAACGTACCTTAGAATACAGAGGGATCCCTATTTTGCTTTAAGGTATATTCCTTAATTATAGGGGTTTGAGAGTCTCTGGGTATATGGTATACGGTTTATGATACAAATCCTGCATTACCCATAGTAAGGAGTATGCCGTGATTCCTATAGTTTAGGGTCCTTAAGGTTATGCACGACATATATCATCAACCATATGAGTATGAGAGCATCCTGTTTGTTGGGCTACTCCAAGGCTCGGATTGATCCCCGAACCTACGAGTCGTGATCCTCAAATTATCAAAACCACGTAATATAGGGCCCTAAAGACTTACCTATATTTTCTTTTGTGGGGGGGGGGGGTCCTCAAATTATAACTATAGTATAATACTGCACCGGTGCGAAAGTTCGTCGCACTCTATGTTGTTCATGTACAACAAACCTATCCAAACCCCCTTTCCCCCCTAGACTCCTCCAGAAGTCCTCCGTCCGGAACAGTTATAATAGAGTTTCATTCGGGTGTGATAATTCCTCCGCTAGCCAGGCTAGGGTATTCCTCACCTGCTGTACTCCGCGTACTCCGCTTAGTGTTTCTA